AATATTCTGAGATCATCGCGTCTTTCCATTCCTTCGCATACTTCTCATTCAGCGCTCTTTGGACACTTTCTGGATCATCAACTTCAGATGTTAAAGACTCAACTACTGGACATGCATTGTCTCTGAACTTACTCGGAATCATACGCTGTCTTACAGGACCTAAATTTTTCACGTTTTCCATAAACCGCTCTTCGTACGTTTTCGAAGTAGATGGGGTTTCACTTTCTCCCACTGGTTCGTCGTTCTCGGGATTAACGGGCTGCTCCATGGTTTCATTCAAGTTAATGTTTGTTTCAACAACAGGATCAACTCTGAACTCATCCTGATCTTCGTTGAAGGTTTGATCAAGTTCATCATCAACTCTATCTAGATAAAATAACTCGAGACAGTTTGTTTTTCATCATCCGGAACTTCAATTCTCTCTTGCTGCTTGAACACAAAGTCATTCTTTGGGTTCTCAAAATTATGAAATTTCTTCTCTAAGAATTGAACATCTCGACTTATCATGGACTTTCTTCTTTTAACATCATAAACTTTGTATCCTTTTGTGCCAGTAGGATAGCCAACAAATATAGCTTCATAAGACTTTTGGTCTAATTTTCTACGATTACTGTCCGGGATATGAACATAGCACATACATCCAAAGACTTTAAGATTAGAAACATCTGTTTTTTCACCGAAAAGGCATTCATGAGGGGTTTTGTCCTTTAATGCAACTGTAGGACTTCGGTTATGTAGGTACACGGCTGTATTGCACGCTTCAGCCCAAAAGACTAGGGGCAAATTTGCATGATATATCATGGATCTTGCAGATTCTAAAATCGTACGGTTTATTCTTTCTGCCACAGCGTTTTGTTCAGGGGTGTAAGGACAAGTAAATTGTTGGACAATGCCCTTCTCTGTACAGAATTTGGAGAAACTGTTCGATCTGTACTCACCGCCGTTGTCGCTGCGCAGAATCTTCACTTTATTATGATTTCCATCTTGATTTTCAACATAATTCACAAACTCCTTGAACTTAGTAAGTGCTTCATCTTTCTTCTTAATAAAGTAAGCAACAGCATATCTGGAATAGTCATCAGTAAATGTGACCAAATAACGGCTACCGCCAATCGACTCAACTTGCATTGGTCCACATATGTCAGTATGTATGATTTCATAAGGTCTGCTTGCCCTATGTAGACTTGCTTTTGGAAAGGGATTCTTATGCATCTTTCCCATTGAACATCCTTTGCAATCTTTCTCCACTTGTTTACTTTCATCATACATCATTCCGGTGACCATATCATTCTTCATCAGTTGATTAACATATCCATTGTTTAGATGACCAAATCTCTGGTGCCACATATCCAAGGGTTCAGTTGTAGGATGGGAAAATTCAACTGGATTAACAGTATACAGCATACCATCTACCAATTTACCAATCACGTATTCTTTTTCTTCTTTGGAAACAACACATTTTTCATCATCGAATGACACTTTAGCTCCCATTGAAGCCATTGCAGGCACAGACAATAGGTTTTTTGCTAACATCGGCACATTCAATACTTTGTGTAACTCCAAATAGAATGTATTGTCATTTTGAGTATATAGCTTAACCATTCCTTCACCCAGGGCTTTAATACAGGTATTGTCACCCAAATAAATATTCACCGGTGTTTGGTATTGAGTGTAGTTGATGATAAGGTCCTTGCGATTTGTCATATGCTTTGTCGCAGCTGAATCCACATACCATTCATTTGAATTTCCTGTGCTTGAAATCAGTGCTACTCCACCACCTTCCGCAAGCTTCGAATGTTCCCCTTTGTTTCCACCTTTTCTATTGTTGAGTGGACAGTTCCTGGCGATGTGTCCAGCTTTGTTACACTTAAAGCATAAAATATTTCTTGCTCTTCCGTCATCACGTTGTTGTTGTGCTACTGGTGTCAATGTATCCCCACCTTTATTGGTGTTCCATGATGGCTTGTAGTCTACAGGAGTCCAATTTCAAGAATGTTCACCATGTCTTCTTCGATCATAATTTCTTCCTCTGCTCATGTATGACTTCCTGTTTGTAAGCAATGCATTGTCACTCTTGTTATTCTCAAATTTTTCTTTTCTCTTCAAATACTCTTCTATTAACAATCCCTTTATATTGTCCCATTCCAACTCTTCAGCTTTCCTCGCATTCAAACTTGTGAGGAGATTATCATACGATTTGGGTAAACTCCCTAACACCACAGTAGCGAATTTCTTTGATGATATATCTTCTTCCATTTCACGCTGTTGTTCGGCCAATGATGTCATATAGGTCAGGTGTTTCATAAGATCTCCACCTTCTTCCATGGTGGCTGCATAGAATTTACGATTCAAACGCACGACTTGGGTAACAGATACAAACTCAAATTGTTTTTGCAAGTTCGTCCATGCTGCTAAAGGATCTGTCGTACTCGAAATGTGTATTTGCAAGTGTTTCTCGACGTTTAAGGCAATCAGAGAGTAGGCTTTATCTGATCGCAACTGGAAAGCATTCTTTACAGCATTTGTCGCATCTTCGTCAGGAGGTATTTCTTTGCCTTCTTGTGTAAAGCCCCAAAGGCCACGTTCCATAAGAACTAGCTTGACATTGTATTTCCAAGACTGATAATTCTTGCCATTTAGCTTATCGATCTTCGTAATTTCCGCCATATTAGACTCGAAATATTTTCACCAAAAATTTCCGCCAAACAGGACAAATAAACACGTTTTAATTCAATTCCACACGTCCTGGACCCATAACCTATGGAAATATTCGCTCACTTTCGATTGTATAACTATTTATTTGAAGATAAACATAACTTTAATAATATGAATTGATTTTCTAAAAGAATGTCCGACCGAATGTACACATCAGAGGAGAGAATCTCATTAATCTTTAACCAATCATATTTAGCGTTATAGAATTTGGCGGGAACTTATTATTCTTAACATTTCCAACGTTGCTCTGAACCATCGTAACACTTTCGGAACACAGACATCGTCGATAATATGGACATCGTTTATATGGCGTTGAGGAGTGCCTATAGGATATACGAATGGAGTTTTGCCGTACAAGTAGACTTTGCCCTTAATACATGACTTCTGGCAGTTCCGCGACGAATTATAGTTTAAAGTATAAATAATTGTTGAAATAATGAAAATTTTTGAAATAATGATTTTTTTGCAGCAGCATTTTGGACATGCGGGCGGAGGACGGTATTCTATGACTTTAATTCCCTCGGCCATACCGGATAGTTTTCATGTTTCACTATACCGGATAGTTTCCACACATGTTTCACTATACGGATAGTTTCCACACAAATAAAAAAATATTTGGTTAGCGTCACCACCCGCCTGTCGATTTTTGCCGCCTCTGAATTTTTTTATGTAAATCTCTCCGTTTACAGTTTAAAACTGTTTAATGTTTGAAATTTTTCTCATACTCAGATCTTCGCGCTATATACTGATCGATAGGAGCGCAACCCTCGAAATTCGCCTCGGCAATTGCCGAGGCAAGTTAAGATTTTTCATAGTTTGTATCGGAAAAAAAATGCCAAGGAATTCCACCTGTTGCATGTACCTTAAATTACAAACTACAGCGTCTGTTCGTTTTTTGCTTAAATTTACAAACTACAGAGTATAGTGTTCGTTTTTTGTATCACTTCTTTGTTCGAATTGTTGTCATCGACATCGGGTGAACAACAGAAGATTTCATTCATAGCTACTTTACAAAATATTTAAATTTGAGCTTTTCAGCGTCGGCTTTGGCTGAAATAAAGAACAATCTTGTTGGTTTAAAGACGGCACATCAAGAAACTTTGTTTTATCTTTTAGACTGTCGTGTGATTACCGTCAAGTTTATTCTTTCATAAAAACATTTTGAATCAGGAATTTGTAAAATAACAACAAATTGTCAAACGTCAAAATCTATGCTCGTTATAATATTTGTTAACAATAATTTCTGTACTATGTACTTTACTTTAATTACAACTGCCGACATGAATGCCAAAGTGTGCCAAAGGAATTGCTGAAGGAATATAAGGTGATTTCATTGTGTACCTCAAAAGGAGGTAGACTCAAAAATTATCGAAAGACTTCGGCAATTATTTGCCAAAGCAAAAATAGTTGAATTGGGTACAAGCCACAAGGTTCTTATATCAAAATGACAGCCTTCACAACATCAGTACAAAAATATCACCAATATGGCGGAAAAACCGCCCCCATACCCCCCAAAAATACTATTAAAAAATTTTAAAAACAAGTAAAAATAAAAAAACGCCCTCCCTCCTCGAGAGTGCATGTGATGCTAACCAAGTTTTTTTTTATTTGGCCTTAGCGAAGATCAGCAATGACAGCCTTTGTCAATGTATTTTGTATGACATAGTGTGTATTTGTAATTTTGAGTTAGTGCTGATGTTAATTTGTGTAATATTGTAATTCAACATTTACAATGTTGATAATGCTGACTATGCTATAATTGTAGGTTGAGATTTGATATAAATTTGTCAAATATATATGTGTATAAGCAGGGGCATAACTCCTAGGGAGTGTGAGGGGGGGGGGGATGCAGACCTGCCAAGTTTGGAAGATAAGAATGTGTGACCAGGGCCGTTGTGAGGACTAAGACTTTGCCTTTGGGAGGAGGGAGGAGGTTAGATTTACCGCCTGAATTGTTTCAATTCACCTGATTTTGCGACGCCCGCAAGGCGCTATCATGGTTGGCACCGAGCAAAAAATTTTGAAAATTTGAATTCTCTAGACCCTCGGAAATAGCATTTTTAATTATTTATTTGTTAACTCTAATTCTTATTTATTTTTATTTTATTTATTTGTTAACTCTAATTCTACGCGTTTGCACACAGCGTTATCGATGAGTTATTGTGCGAAAAGTGGGATAGCGTCATATAATGGTAAAAATGCGTAACTTTAAGATCATTTTAGTTATGCGTGCGGGACAGCGGGAATAAAAGCAGAATGCGTAACTTTCACGCGAAATGCGGGAACCTTGGCAGGTCTGGGGATGCAACACCCCTCAATATGGTAATATTGCAGTTTTGTCAGGAAATTTTAGCAATTTTAAGAACACTCTCGTCAGGCAAAAAATATGTAATTCAGCAAAAAATTTTACATAATTTTTTGAAAAGTGATAATTGTAGGAAAAATTTAGATAAATTTACGAAAATATTACTGAAAAATTGTACATATTTCAGTAAATTAGTAATGTCCGAACATGTTTTTCTTTCCTCTTCCCCCTGCCCCAGGAGTGGTACTGAAGAGAAAAGGGTTCGAGGGTAAACACAATTTTGAGTGAGTAAAAGTTGGGTAAATGAATAACAATTGCATAATAAAAATTGATTGTCATGTCGCAGAAGTGGTATTAAAGGACATGTGTGGTAACTGAATGGTATCCTTTTGTAAAGACTTTGGGCAGGGGTGGATGTTTTATATTTGTGGTTGGGCAAATGTTTTTTTATTTTATAATGTATGGATCAGTCAAATTTTGGCCAAATTTCCTAGGAAATAGACAGTCAAATCAATCAAAATTTTACTTTTATATACTTTTATAAAAATATGCATGGGCTGGGCTGATCATCTAGAAAATACCCCGTCATTACATATATCTTGCCACAGGTAAGAAAAAGCTGGCATTCACATGCCAGACATTCCTACCTGTTGCAACATATTGATCCACTACACAGATTTACTTCCAGGTACTGTATTCTTTTCACAACCAAAGCTCAGCAATTGATCAAAACTTCTTCCCTAAAAGGAACCGAACCCAGTTTATTGAGTCATATTGTGGCACTGGGGGTGCTCTACGATCTGCTCCTACGAATACTTGCATGATGACCGAACAGGGCTTCTATAAAGCATCAATGGTTTTAATGACGTTGTTGTAGTTGACTGTATTAATCTTCACATTGACAGTGGCTAGTAATTAAGAATTATATATTGCACAGGTGTCACCCATTTCATGAGCAGTGGTGTCAAGTAACGAAGTAAAATAATGTACTTCGTTACTGTACTTGAGTACCATTTTTGAGAAGTCAGCATGTAACAATGAAAGTAAACTTTTTCTGGGGTACTTTGACTTGGAACGAAGTCGTTTTAAGAAGTAACGTTTTTCGTATTTAAGTATTTCGTTACTTTCTCACATTTCTTTAATTTTACGTGATTTATTCCTGATTTATTTTAATTTTGGGATAGGTAATAGGACCTCTACATATAAGCATTATTTATTTAATGGATTTCTTATATCTTCAACGGGGTCTGGAAAGTAGACCTTCCGTGAAATATTGTATATTATGGCACGCATATAATGCGTGTGCTGTTTTGTGTCAAAAGTATGTCAACCGTTGGAGAAGTCCCCCCCCCCCTCCCTACACGCTATAGACAATAGTACTTTTACTTTAAAATTTTTACTTTGTACTTCAAGTATTTTTTAAGAATACTTTGTACTTTTCACTTATTAATTAGTAGGTTTGCCTCCAGTAGTTTTTACTCTTACTCAAGTCGTTTTATTGTTAATTACTTCTACTTTTACTCGAGTACAAATTCAAAGTAATTTAGGCACCACTGTTCATGAGTAATACTATCTTTGTTAGATACACAAAGAAAAAATGACAAATGGCTTCATTGTACCAGAACATTGGCCTCAGTGTACCAGAACAATGAGTCATTACTGTGGAACAATGACTTTACTGTACCACTTCATTGTGTCATAAGAATGCTTCATTGTGTCAGACCAGAACGACAGCTCAATTCTCCCAAAGCAACAGCGAATTATAGCTTCATTGTATCAGAGCAATGGCTTTATTGTAGCATAGCAATGGTGTCAGAAAATGGCTTCATTTTAGCAGAACATGCTTGATGATTGTGTCAGACCACTGCCTTGATTATGTCAGAACAATAACAGTGCATTGATGTGAAGATTTGGTTTTGTTTTCAGCAACTTCAAAAACTTGAGTCTGCACGTCAGAGCGATGAACAGTTCTACCAACGGTTTATTGGTCGTCTTATGTTCTACTCCATCATCCTGTACATTATATCAGCGCTGGTTATGTACTTTTACTATTTTCCTAAGTATTGGAAAGACAGGCTTACAAGGACTCTACCATTATTGATTTTTCCATTGATGTAAGTATATATTTTTATTATTCGAAAGCCCTGCACAGTTGTTTTGATGTAGAGGACCCAAGAACACGGAGATCTATATGTTTAAATTGCAACTCTTGTCGAAGTTTGACCAATGTTATCAACTGTTGTTTTTAGATATCTGCATGTAACCTATATGTTAAAGGGCCGGCAGTAATTGGTTTTAACTGTTGTGGTGTCCCCACCATTCGTCACTTGTATAATATTGTATTTGTATTGTATGCATGTCATTCGTGTAATTTTACCTGGCCAAGTTGAATAAATAAATAAATAAAAAAGTGTGTCTGTTAATTGACTGTTTATTTATTTATTTATTTACTTTGCCATCATACTTATACATTCATTGGCTGGGAAACCACAACAGCTATTGCCAATTACAGCGGCCCCAATAGTTATACAGAAACAATTTACAAGGTATACGAAACACACACAACAGACAATACTTGAACAACAGTCATTACATTTGTCTAAAAGCAGCATGTCAATGGAGAGTTCATTAAACTTCGAGCGGAATTACATTTTATACACACACTTTTCCATGTTCGGGGATCCTCAACATCGTATGTATTTTCCAATGCTAAAATATAGTACTTAAAAAGAAGATTCTTGAATTCTGAAAATGTTAGGTCTTTGGATGTAATATAATTGGGTAGTGTGTTCCATATTCTTGATGTTCGGATTTTGTAAGATTTTTCATAGGTTGACGTCTTGTATGTCGGAATTTTATATTTGTTCGAGTTGGGATTAAATGATCTTGTCTGTCTTTGACCCTGAGGTTGAGGAAATGGAAGAATTTTTTTATCAATATTAAAAATGTCGTGATTTGCCTTATAGAAGAATACTACATCCAGGTATTCGTGCCAGTAGCTGAGAGGGAGCAAACTGGTTGCAAGGAGTCGGTCTCTATATTCTGTATCACAAATAAAGGGAACATTTAAAATATATTTAGTTGCACGCCTCTGAACTCGTTGCATTACTGTAAATGTCCAAAGTGAAAACTCCCCTGAGGATATACACTAACTTGAACCCTTAGACTAATAAATCAGGGCCAGTTTGTTAAATGTGACTCCAGGGGGGTGTACTGTAGTTGGGAATACCTCCTTTTCGGCCTTGATAAAATACTGTAAGATTTTCCCTTATGTGGCATTAAAGTGTAATTGTGGTCGGTACAGTACATACACAGTACTGTAAATAATGGATACGATGCTGGAATGTATATCAGTGTGTCATAGATCAGTTGTTTGTGTTCATCGTTCCTTCCTCGCCTCCCCTCTCAAAGAAGACAATTTACTGCCTCGGCTCACAAGCTCGCATTTCCCATATTTACACAAGAAGAGTTTTAACAACGGCATGCAATATTTTTACACCATTGAATTTGTATGTTTTTAGAATTTATGGCGTAAGAAGAATGCTGATGTACGTTTTCAGCACAAGGAAAAAGAAAAATGGTTTGTTTAATTATATAAATTGCATACACTGTATTAATCTATTCAACTTGATTCACTTGATTATGATCTATGAAAATGCCAATAACCCTTAATTTTTCCAACCTTGATAATTATGTATTACTGTAGGTGTGGGAATACTGTACGAATAGTTATGATAATACTCGTTGCAGTGCTTTTAATTCCGCAATCCCTCGTTTTTAGCCTGCAAATTTCAATCATTACTAGCCTTGCCCTTGGTTCAATAATGTTATTTTAGTCCTGACCACATCAGTTGGGAAGCATGTTTCTGCAGTTTGATCATCATGTTCATTATTGTCGTCGTTAGTGTGGCTAAATATTACATGATCGATCAAAATATTCTGTTCTACTTATGGGCGCAATAGCTTAATTGAGATAATATACATGTACAGGTAGTATATATTGTTTGAAGTTGATCGAATATTACGAAGGAACTCCGTTACAGGGTGCGATAATTCAATATTTTTAGTCGCACTTGACTGCATGGTATTTTTAATGCATGATTATTGCCGCGTACGTCTTAAACTCGAGGCTTACTTAGTCTTTAAAAGTAGTTTAGTCATGTATACAGTTCCTGCAAGGTATTCATAGCAAGAGTTGCGCGTACCTATACGTGGTACGTAATTGAAAAAACTGAAGTACCAGACCGTTATACTGGCGTACCTCTTGTACGTACATATATTAAGCATGCGCAGTTCAGCCTTTTGAATGATGGTTTTTAAGGAGCATTACAAGCCTTTTAATTGAAAAAACTAACTAGGAAAATCAATTAAGCATAATTCAAGATCAGTGATTTCAATGTTTTTTACCATTTTTAAACATTTCTAATGTTAAAAACATTGAGTTCACTGATTTTGAATTATGCTTAATTGATTTTCCTAGTTAGTTTTTTCAATTAAAAGGCTGGTAATGCGCCTTAAAAACCATCATTCAAAAGGCTGAACTGTGCCTTTAAGCATGCAAATTATCGAACCCTGCGTTGTTGTCATCATAAAGGCCGGTTAACACGGTTTAAGGTCCACACAGACCGGACGCGATTCGACAACGCGATTTTTCGATTTTCACTGACCGATAACTTTGATCCTAGTTTAAATTTTCCAAATATTTAGAAGCGCTATAACATTTTGAGTTATTTGGTCTACATATCTTTCAAAATTTGCTCTCATCGGCTGTTTTATTAACTTTCAAAAACTAAAAAATCGCGTCGCGTTGTCGAATCGCGTCCGGTGTGTCTGCACCTTTACACTTGCAATTTTTGCTGCGATTTCTAGGCGATATTCTTCTTCTGATGCGTGTGAATGAGTAGATGAATTATGAATGTTCTGTATACTATCCATGAGAAGAAGAAAATCGCACGTAAAATCGCAGCAAAAATTACAAGTGTAAACGGGCCTTAAAGGGGCCCTACAGCCATTTTTTAGTCAAAAGGCCACCTTAAGTAGGGGACTCCACGGAGATTCGTTTGGCTGTATTTTACATGCAGTATCCATGAGTATGACTACTTCTCTGTATCTTACATGCAGTATCCATGAGTATGACTACTTCTGCACACCGGAAGACGCATGCATGCCGTGATGCGCATGTGAAGTAGCGACAATAACAAAAAAATGTAAACAATACTTAAGGTGACTTTTCGACTAAAAAATGACTGTAGGGCCCCTTTAAGACTTTTGCCGTATTTCCTTATAGCTCTTAAGCTTGAAGAACTTAGATCCAAAAAGCAGAAAGTGGTAAGTATATAATTATAATGTGGATGTATAGATCTTGAAACAATGAAAAGTGAAGCAAGAGTGGGCCGCATAGCAGACCAGCATACTGCTTCCTAGTATAGCTGTTAACAGGGCTCAAAATAACGGGAGATAGGTATCCGGTCAAAATAACACAGGTCAAAATGACCAGTGAACTTGATATTAGCTCAGTCAAAATCTCATTTATATACGCTTGACTTGCGAAGCTATGAACATAATAGATACTATTATAAATGCTATATGATGCTTAGGGCCAGTTTTTTATCATTAAGCTCATCAGGCGGGAAGGAACGTTTTCATCCCGCCAAGCCGGAAAACTTGCCTATACTGTAGGTCTGAGGGACAAAAACATTGCCGGGATGAAGCCAGTTGAGTGCTTAACGTCATGTCCTTTTTGCACAAAAAGAATTTACGCTTGCTCAGATCAAAAGCCAATTGCGTTTCGCCTATGGCTGGGATAGAGTGTTTCGGCCTATGCGGGATCCCGGCAACAGATGGCATCATGGCAGGGTCGCGCCTAGGGCGGGATGGGAGCAGATCATATGAATACTTATAGTAGAGTTTATTATGAGCGAGATATCGGTAACTCTCCCGTCCCACTGGGCCAGGATCATTGTTGCCATATCCCTATAGCACTTTTACTGGTATTATATATGTACATGCAGTAATATGCTGAAGCTTAATATATCGTAAATCAACAGGCTCTTCATCCTTTCACAAAATGTTACTACGTAACGACTGCCGTTGAGCTGAAGTACATGTTAGAGCTTTTTGAGCAAATGTCAGATACATTTAAATAAAAAATCCATGCATGTTCTTTAGATTGAAAATGTAAAAGAAAAAGAAACGTACAAGAAAGCGAAAGAAATACTGGAGAAATTTGACCCTAATAACAGTCTTGTAAAGGTATGTTATACTGTATAGATTCATTTTGTGTCAAATATGAAGGTGAATAGTACGGATCGAAAACAACTAATGACATGTAATTTCTCTTAGAATGATGCAAAGCAAGATGCGACGAATGGAAAGTTGCCTCCGGCAACCCCGGGATCTGGTTAGAATTTTTTAGTAAATATAAAAAGAAAAAAAATTGATACTGCATGTGTTTTGTGTTCGCCACCCCTGGGGCTCTCTCTCTTTATGGGTTGTGCATTTTCCAAAACCCAGGCGGAAATCAAGGATGAGCGTGCACGTTTGGACCGAGAAAATATCTTGCATATGAGGTTAATGACGTGCTTGTATATCAAAGAAGGTTGGGGGCTTATAAAATATGAACTGCTATAGAGTTATGTCTAACTTTTTCGATGTCTGCATTCAGTCCCATACATCATTATTATTTAACAGGTTTCCGCCTACCAGGACTGACACAACACACTATGCCTATGCTAAATTTACTTATAAACTTGGAAAGATAAAATTACATATTACACTAGTGGGTACACGTATCTGGTTGCAAATCATAACGAGCGTTGGCATTACAATTTCTTACAATTTTCGATGTTTCATTATCGTGTTAGTGTTATTTTTGGACAATACATTGCACGCGCTTTTGGATCGGAAATTAATAGTATACCTTTCCTTGATAGAAGTTCGACAAAGAAATGCTACTTGGATAATGTCAACGCCCAATGCGTCATTTTCCCAACAACCACCGCCATTTTCTGCAACACCCAAATTACAAATGAAGTCACCACTGCGTGGAATGAGTCCTGCCATGCAAAAACAGTTCTTTATTAATAATATGCCCCCTGGTAAGTCCTAGGGTCGGTTGTACCAACACCGGATAGCGCTTTCCACCAGATAGTGGTTTTCCAATTAAAGCTGTGAAACTACGGATGTAGAACAATGTAGGACCCAGATATAAATAGACTTTAATTTATCAATACTAAACTTTAATCTATAGGTTATACCATAGTCTGTCAAATTTGATGATCTGGAAGCCCGGTAAACTTCAAAACCACGAAACAGAAGACTTTTGTTTCATATTGAACTATATCTCGCCGTGCACAAATCCTTGCTCCAACTAAATTCAGTGTGATTGTACGTTTCACCTCAGCTATCCCTATTGGACAATTACTTAATTGTTTGAAAAGAACAATGTGCTCAATCATCGTGACCGTACACAAACTAACATAAACTCACAAAACTGTCAAAACATTCATTGTTGATAGACTATGGTTATACTATTGCTTGAAAAATTCACTACCTGGTGGATAGCGCTATCCAGCCTTGGTGCAATCGGCCCCTGAAATATAAGAACTACCGTAAACCTACATAGCTCATTAGAATCGAGGCAGTTCCTATTTCAATAATACCCGTTATTCATCTATTGAATAAGTGGCCCGGCACTTATTTATTTCAGGCACATTTGACTTGGGAACTTGTTGATTTTACCGAAACGCGAGACGCTTAAGGCTCGGTGAACTGTAACATGAAAGCCGTTCAGTAAATTTAATCAGTACACATCTGTTTCTTTGTTGTAAAAGAGAAGGAAAAGAGAGCTTATAGTAGGAAAATGACATAATCAATTCTTCCTCCCGTTTTGTGTTTACAGATTGAATGCAACTTTTTACCTTCCACATATTTTATGTTTGTAGGAACTCCTCCTGGTCCGCCAAAGCCGATACCAGTTTTACCGAAAGAACGTACAATGGCTGACAAGGTATTGCAAAACGCTACTATGGCTCGGATCTGTCCCGATGCGGTTTAAATTTTTCAAAATTACAAGATTCCCCGGAAGTGCATGTTATTTGATAACAATTGATCATATCTTGTCATATCTGAAAACTATTATTTTAAAGAGCTTCTATTTAGCCGTATTATATAATATGTGATATTACCCTTCTCTTTCTTCCACCAATTTTTATACTATTCAACACGAGTTCAGCATTGTGCGACTAAAGCAATCCTTATAACCTGCCTTTCCAGTCTGATTTAAGTTACAAGCAACGTTTAGATCTCTTCTATTTATACCTACTGCATGGCACAAATTCCTTGACCAGGTCTTTTTTTCAAAATTATTCACAAACCTTGTTAATAGGGTGAGGCGGTTAATCGATAAACCGAAAAAAAAACGTTTTTTTAAAACCGAATCAACCGATGTTCTAGGAAAAAACGGGAAAAAATTGAAAAAAAAACTGTTTGTAACTCAGTAATGTTGAAACAAAATGGCACCTTGTCAAAATCACGGCGCTACTTCTGACGAAATTTCCAATTTTCAAACGTTAAAAACGTACTGTACTATTAATGCAATTGTTTTTAAAACTAGTCTTGAACGTATTGCGTGAAGTTTAATCTAACTGTAGTATATTTTGACGTACGTTATAAAACATTTTTTCGGGTTTTTTCCGACGGTTTTCGTTTTTTTATCCTGAACCGCATCACCGTACTTGTCAAGATTTATCCTGACAGATCAACCGGTACCACTTCCTATCCTAACCTACTGCTGTACTCTACTTCTATCCTAAAAGATGTACAACTCTGACGTTATCCGATGATCCGAGAACATGGAAAACGGTGTATCTGAAATGTAATTTTGAATCAGCACGTATACTTATAGGGAGACTATATCAATTATATCTTGTTGCAACTAAAATATTTTTCGCCCATCAGGAGCACGCTCTCCATCGTAAATCTTGACTACATGCACAAGGATTATGACAATTAAGTCTTTCTGACTAAGTACGGCAAACGGTTAAAAGGTTTAAGGTTTAGAGTTTCGAAGGACAACCTTTTTTAAATTAGCTATATTCAGTGTGGCAAAACAAAATCAGGGTATAGATAAGAATTCGTTTGACATGTATTTTATCACTGTTTGATAAAAATTCATTTGAGATGCATTTTAAGCCTTGCTATTGTATTAGTTTGTAGACTACCTCGTTGGTGATGGACCCAGTAACCGTTATGCTTTAATATGCAAAGCCTGTCACTCACACAATGGCATGGCGCTGAAAGAAGACTTCGAATACACCAGTAAGATATATCATTCATTTTGTGAATTAAGAGGCAGCATGTTACCTACGAGTCCGCCTATAAAGTACCAAACATTTGTGCGCTGTTTGTACTCACCATCTTTCTTACGATAAAGTGGATACAGAGTTTGAACCCCCTTCCGGTTTACTGAAAAGGGGTGGGCTGGTTTAAAAATGGGGGAATGAATAAAAAACTGTTATGATTACAAGGAACCAAGACACGTGTCGTACAATTTGCGTCTAATTTCTCGTTCATTATGTTAGCTACTGTAATTGTAGTTAGCGCAAAACATCCTGACCGACAACTTGCATGACGCAAGCCAAGATTCACAAGAAAAAATAGTTCGTACAAAAGACTGCACGAGTGAACTATGGGGGAACTCAAACATTGTCAGGAATAGTGTACTTGCTACTGTAGCTCTCTCGTGAAGCAATAATATTAATAATAATATGTTTATCTGATGTCGTTTACACGGGTGTGGTTCCCCAACTCCCCCGAGCCGCTACAAGTACAAGACACAGTACAGTACAGTACAGTATATATGCAGTATATATGGAGAGAAGCAGTGACATGCACATCTACTTACACGAGTTATCCCTAAAATTGCATGCTAACTGAATGTCGAGAGCCTATTCCAGTGATTTTCTTACCTATAATCTATATAGCTTTCCGATGCTGCTATTGTTACCAACTGAATGAAGCGAAAAAACAGCGTCCTTCAGCTCCACCACTCGAGGGATTGTCCACTCCGACACCAAGACATTCTACCAATGATACCGTCAGTAATGAAGAAACATGTGGAGAGTCTGGAAATATCGAAAAAACGATGGAAGGTAAGAATTAATGTGTTGAACTAAATGATATATTTATACTGGATGGCTTTTAAATTAACTGCTCGAAACTGTTAAGCCCTACACGGCAAAAAACGCCGAGCCCGCTGCTCAACAGGCCTGAACAATGTTTTGCTGCCCACGTTGTTCACACTTGTCAACAATATTGAACAATATTGTTGACAGCTATGAACAATGTGGGCAGCGAAGCATTGTTCAATCCTGTTTTCATCAGTATTGCATCAACCTGAGCGTTTTTACGCGTGTAGTCAAAGGAGGATGAGAGTTGCGTGAGAGTTGGCAAGAAAGCAAGAAGAGCATGAGAGTTTTCTCAGCATTCTTGTCTCCTTCAAAAGAGTACAAGGTTGTACTTGAGTTCACAAGAATTGACTGGAGTTACCAACTCTTATCATAATTTGAACCAGCTCAAAGTTGATAAGAGTTAAGCCGGTTTTCCATTAGACGGAATTTTGGGCGAGAAGCGGAATTTTTCTTTGTCTTGTTATTCCTCGGATGGAATTAATTAGAAAAGACAAAGAAAATTTCCGCTCCGCGCGCAAAATTCCGCCTAGTGGAAAACCGGCTTTAGTGAGTGTGGCGATGACATCATCGTTGATGTCACGTGAGTCATTGTTGTTGTCGAGTTTTTAGGCGATATGTTTTAGGCTCGAGACTGACAAGCTGAGAATCGAAGTAATAAAGACTTTTGGGTAACAGTTATAAATATCGTTACATGGTGTCAGGTGCGGGATCGTACTGCACGACCGAGGCGGGGTTTTTTTCAGGAAAAGAACCCGTACAATCAACAAATAAACAGTAAATACATCGAGCAATGGCAGAACCAGAAGCGCCCGCCGCCACAGGCATATACGTTCCACCGTCGAATATACCGCCGCCAAAACCACTCGTGTTTGATGACAACATCGCGATAAGTTGGAAAACATGGAAAAAGGCTTGGAAACGTTTTGAAATTGCCACAGCAGTTTATAAGCAAGACGGAGTTGTTCGTGTGTCAACCCTGCTAAGTATAATAGGTGAAGATGGCGTCAAAACATTCGACACTTTTACGTGGGCAGAAGACGAAAGCGAAGACAATATAGACCAGGTTCTAAAGAAATTTGACGAGCATTGCGAACCAAGAACTCAAGTTATTTATGAACGCTATCGATTTAATAACAGAAAACAAGAACAAGGTGAGAATGTTTCAACTTATTTAACCGAATTAAGAACAATCGCTCGAAATTGTGATCATGAGTCAATTACACCCGATGAAATATTAAGAGATAGACTAGTATTGGGCATAAGAGATGACAAAGTTCGCGAGCGATTGCTGCGAACAGATGGGTTGTCACTGAAGAAAGCTGTTGAAATAATTAAGGCCGCAGAAGAAACACAACAACAAGTAAAGCTAATGACCGGAGATTTGTCTGTAAACACAATTAAAGAAAATAAAGGTGACACAAAATTTACAATGCGAAATACCCAAGAGGGGCAGGGCCAAGGTCAAGATCAAACAAGAGGCAGAGGCCAACAGCGGCAACAGCATAATAGTTGTCGAAATTGCGGAAGAAATCATGGCAGACGAATTTGTCCGGCATTTGGAAAAAAATGTCATAGCTGTAACAAGCTTAACCATTTCGAAAAGATGTGTCGAAGCAAAAACGTGTCTCTAGTCCAAGAGGACTCTGACACGGATTCAGAGGACACGTACGTCATTAGCTCTGTTTCCAAGAATGAAAAGAAGAAAGGTTCTCGTGCAAAAGCAGCAGTGACAAAATTACACATTAATAAACAAAAGAATAAGAACATTGTTAAGATTCAAATAGACACTGGGGCCCAGTGCAACATTCTTC